CGTCGGCGAGACTGGGCGCCGTACTGTTGGGTTGACTCATTGTGGCCGGATGAAGGCATTTTGAGTAGTTTTCGGAAATGAAAAGTAGGAAAAAGACGAGTGTGATGTGGAATCTCACAAAATCGAAAAATTGACACCAAATAAGGCCCCCCTTCTAGCACCAAACTGTTGACGGGCGTTTCCGGTCAACGGTTAAAAAGATAAATAATGAAAAGGTAATGAGGAAAAGACAAAGAAATATGATTTAATTATGATTTTATTAACTGATCACGAGGTCGGCCTCTCGTAAGAGGTCGGCACTTGCGATATCCTTACCAATCCTTACACAAATTCCTTACAAGTTTAGAGAGAGAAAATGTAGAGAGGGTGAAGACAGTTGGGATTCAACAACCCAGAAATAAATGAGGTGGGCTGCTATTTATAGTGGCCTTAAATGTGGCATTTTTCAGGTACTGTTCACCGGTCTTGTCGTACAGTACTCCGGCTGAGCAATCCGGCGTCTTTCTGACAGGCATTAAATGTGATTTGAGGTTTTTCTAATCATTGTCTGACAGGCATTTAATGCACACGAGGGTCATTTAATGCAGGCAGCCTTTATGTCTTGGCTAGCGGATGTAGACCTGCAGGCTATGGCACCCTGTCCAATCACCAATGATTGCTCCCCAAGTGAAAATATTATATTATTATCGGGCTCGGCCTCCGTCTCTGGGGGGACCGTCCTGGAACCTCAGACCGGCTCCCAATTCTATCTTGTTCTTCCAGCCCCCGGGGAGCCTTTCTCCAGCCCGTCACCCACCAGGTCGGCTCCGGTACTTGGATGTCGCAAACGCCGGGCTCGTGGATGAACCCGCGGAGGTGTCAGAGTCAATCAAAACTAGAATTCAGCCCGGCACTTGCGAGCTGGTGGGAGAGCCAGTTCGGGTATGCGAGCCGGTTCGGCTTTTGGGAGTCGCCGCATGCCCGGTTCCTTTTGAGGTGAACTTGGATGTAAACACTTATCTTGGCTATAGGTTTATACTAGTGCGCTGTGTCGCATTGAAAGGATCATAGTTGAGACGTGTTCTTCTGTTCTGACTGTCATGAAGAACCAAGGTCTCGGTGAATCTATTAATTCTTAACTCTAATTGTGATACTTAGATATGTGGGATATTTGTTTGTTACTTTGATTTACCATGGGTGAGAACCATGCATTGGTTCAATATGCTCTGTATCTTGGGTAACAACATTGTCTGCATGATATCTATTTATTGGCATTAGGAAGTCGTGTCCTGGACATAAATTGTTTTGACATGCGTTGTATACTAAAAGTTTAGCTTTAGTATAAGTGGGAGATTGTTGGAGTATACTATAAAGCAAACTTGTATGTGAGCTTTTAGATTGTATTTATTCGATTTCCCATTTGACTGAAATAAATGTTTTCACATTGTTGCTTTCTTTATGATTGCTTGTATGCTAAGTGTCCAATTATCTTATATTGTAGACAATGTGGTGTGTTAGTAGTCACACAGAAGATTACATTGTCGGTCCCTTATAAGATATAAATGGTATTCACAACTGAGATAGTTATGGACATGACTATCGGTTTAAGTTGTAGTATAAACTGGATATAGCTTATCTTGGCTATAGGTTTATACTAGTACGCTGCGTCGCATTGAAAGGACCACAGTTGAGACGTGTTCTTCTGTTCTGACTGTCATGAAGAACCAAGGTCTTGGTGACTCTACTAATTCTTAACTCTAATTGTGATACTTAGATATGTGGGATATTTGTTTGTTACTTTGATTTACCATGGGTGAGAACCACGTATTTGTTCAATATGCTCCGTATCTTGGGTAACAACATTGTCTGCATGATATCTATTTATTGGCATTAGGGAGTCGTGTCCTGGACATCCAGGTTGATGACGTCCCCTTAAGGAACTCATAAGGATTATCGTATCAAACCCTGCAGGTGGATTTAATCCGTACGATAATAAGGTTGAGTGGTACTACTTAAGGAATAAAAGATATTAATTAATTAAAGCAGTCAGAAGCTTTAATAATTAATGGACATGCGATATCTTAAACACGGGGAATTATATCGAGTCTAATAGAAGCCCTGATTCATTTCGGGATAGGACGGGAGTGCAATATTAATTCTCTAGTGGAATAAATTAATATTTACGGGAAAAATTGTGTTCTGGGCTGAACATAAGAATTTGGGCCCGTAGGAAGCCCAAACCCTATACCTTCTAAGAGATCCCTAGTCTGGCACAAGGACCTCTATAAAAGGAGGGATTGCACATCTTTAACCCTACGCATTATCACAGACGTGACACTCTTCAGCCACCATCGTGGAGAAAGTGACGTGAAGGGTTCAGAGAAGACGAGACGCAATCCGCTCCTTTCAACCGTTTGGTAGATCGCCGTCCATCCGACGTCCAAACGTGGTCGGGACACAGACTAGAAGATCGCTCAGATCGAATCAAAGCCTCAAAGAAAGGTAATTCTCTGTTCGTCCTTTAGGATGTGTAGGGTTATTCGAAATCATGTATGTACATGTTTGGTATCCGATATCGATCCGTGGGAAGGCCCGCCTCATCGGCGTGTTCCAGCAGTTTGGTATCCGATAACGATTTGTGGAGACAAACTGCCCTTGCTGACGTGTTCCAGTACATACGGCATACGCGATCACCAAACGATCATTGAACATAGTTTCTTATTTCACAATTAAGTATTTGTTACTCCAAGTTTAAGATTTTCCTAAAACAAAGAGATGATTGCTAATGTTGAACTTTTTGTGGATAACTTTTGATTAATTTTTTTCCCCTTTCATCTTTTCATTTTAAAAGAAAAACCAAGTACTCATGAAGGTGTTCATTATTAATGGAATGTTCAATGTAGTAGCTATGACCGCCCTTGCTGACGTGTTCCAGTACATACGGCATACGCGATCACCAAACGATCATCGAACATGGTTTCTTATTTCGCTCACGTCAGTACAAACGGCATACGCGATCACCAAACGATCATCAAAATTGGTTTCTTATTTCACATACACGATCACCAAACGATCATCAAACATGGTTTCTTATTTCATAATTAAGTATCGTATTACAATTTTGTTACTCCAAGTTTAAGATTTTCTTAAACCAAAGAGATAATTGCTAATGTTAAACCTTTTTGGATAGCTTCTTATTTCTTTTTTCTCCTTTCTGCTTTTCGTTTTAAAAGAAAAACCTAGTACTCATGAACGTGTTCATTATTAATGTAGCAGGTACGATATGTATGTCATCCACTTAATTTAATGTCTCGGTCAAAACTGAGTACAATGCTTGCCGAACTATACCTGTTTCTATAAGTTATGTTATGCTATTAGTCAATCTTTTGTTGCTAGTAACTTTTTGTCTTATGGTTTATTTACATTTATTTTTTACCTGTCACGAGTTATCAGAAGATGCAGACCATATATGAAAACAAATACAGACCATTGGAACGAGATTTGATTAAATGCTTGGGCAAAGACAGAAGGTTTGGACAGAGTACTCCGTTGAGTATTTATTATATATCTTATCATAGAAAAATCTATATTATATAATAAGAATTATTATTTACCAAAAATAGTAGCAAAAAAATAGGAGAGAATTTAATGAAACTTATAAATAGTAAGTTTTATTATTTTTTTTATTTTTATCTTTAAAAAATCATACAACATTAAACATTGCATTAAATTTTGGACTTTCATTCATTTTATTATTTAAAAATTCCAGCTAAGATATATTAAGTGTGCATTTTTCATTTTTTTCCATAGAAATAATGAAAAACATTAAAATCTCAGTCTCTATATTTATAAAATCTCACTTCAAAAGGTAATAAAAATTTTAGAATATCAGTCTTTATATTTATGCCTTTCAAAAAAAATATTGAATGTTATTCTTTAAATATCATTTCCCACTAATCATCACAATTTTTTTTATTTAGAATGTGTGATTGTAAACTTGGTAATATTTATCAATTCTTTATTTACCAATCTATTGTTTTTTCTATACTCGGTTTCAAAAGGTAAACCAATAATTGTGCATTGAAAAAAAATTAATGATAATATATTATTTTTTAATAGTAAGGAAATGCTCTCCTACCCACGGTGGGCACAAATTAATTTGTCCACCACTTATGTGGCATGTATGAGGCATGTACACATCACCAAACATTATTTTCTCCAACGAACCCTGCATGCCACATAAGTGGTGGGCAAATTAATTTGTGCCCACCGTGGGTATGGGAGCATTTCCCGTTAATATTATACAATTTTGAAAACTCCATTATAAATTGTATGGTGATATCCAAATCATTTTATAAATGCAATCGACTTTGTTAAATCTCCACGAAAATATGGTAAAACAAAATGAGACGATCAACTTTGTATAGAAATAAAATAAAATCAATAAATCAATATGAAGTTCACAGAAAAATAATATAATAAATAATTTGTATAGTACACGAATCTAATAAATAATACTCACGTGGATTTTAAATATCAAACTTATGCTTATCATCATTTTCTGAAAATTGAATAATATATTGTAGGCAAGATTTTTTAAAATAATTTTAAACATGTTTTATTTATAAAATAGTAGAAAAATTTTAGATGAGTTTAGAAAAATTTTAGGTGACTTCACATCTTTTAATAATGATATATAAAATTTTATATTCTTTACATATGTTATATAATATTTTAGGTATTTTTAATATTTTAAATATACATTTTTATGTTATTTTATACAAAATAATTTTATATTGTTTACAACTGATATACGATAAATTATGTTACATATTAACTCCATATCGTAATTACAATTATTAGTTAATATTGTTTACTCTCATATTTAATTTATAAATATTATTTAATATTGTTCAATATCATCCTTAATTTATAATTATTATTTAATATTGTTTACCCGTACATCGCACGAGGCTACACACTAGTAAGAAAGTAATCAAACAAACTTGCATACAATTAAATTTAAAATAATCACCCGCTAATCAATTAGCATTCAAAATATTCAAATACCCATAGCTAAAAAGTTCCTTGAGGATTTTCCTTAAAGCTAAAACCCAAATTAACCTCAATTATTTGCAATGGGTTGCATAGTCTCAACAAATATCCCGTTTTTCAGAGCAAAATTCACATGATTGAAACAATTAAAAGTTTTTTTTTTTTATATAATTAGACAAAATTCTCAAGTTTTAAATCGTAAATACAGCTAAGAAAAATATGAAGATGCACAGGATGAACACTCATGCCAAGGATGACCACCATCATACTTGAAGAAAAATAAAATTGCACATGAATACATCACACCTTAGAACCCAATATCTGAGCCCTTAAAGCCAACTGCAAACACAGCTACCAAACAACGCATCATAAAAATAGCAGCATCAGTTTCTACAGCTGCCAGCAAGCAGGTGCCGCAAACAGCAATACAAGATATTGGCTATCAACTCACTGCAACAGCAACGATCTCATGTGCTGTAACATAGCATAACTGATATAAGATTACATCTAGATAACCAATTTTGACTTGGGCAAACTCCTATATATATGCGTAAGCAATGAAAATCCGTGTGAAAACAGCTGACATCTTACCACCCCCACGATCACAAACAGTTGATAACACCTCGGGCGTGGTAAAAAAAAATATCAAGTTATTAACTTGAATTATCTCTCACGAACAAAGCAAACAGCTGTAAACATTCAATTGTGAGAAACTTTATGTGATTGTATATTCTGTTAAAACTAAATTCCTTACCACTTACGCCGTTCACTCAGAGAGTTCGTAACATAATCAAGAAATTCGAACAACAGCAAAATAAGCCACGCTAGAGCAGCAGGTGCCACCTCATCATCTAAAACAGCATCAAATATCAGCTGCATCATCTAAAAATAGCACCAAACAGCAAAGCTGCTGCATCATCTAAAAAACAGCACCAAAATATCTGCTGCATCATCTCACCAATCAGCAACTACTCCTAGCGCACACAAACCATAGAAGGCAAAGCAAGATTTTATGAGCATACATCCAAATTTAAGAAATAACGTGAATATATAAACCAAAACAAAATATTCCAAAAGCATCAATCCATAAAGTCAAGATGGCTCCAGCCAACCCATTCAAAGTACGGTGCAGAAACAATCAGAACATAACGTTATAGCTAGTACAGTACAACGAAAGGAGTTCCACCTTTGACATGGTCCCAAGGGAATATAAGTCTTAGCAAACAACCATACAGATGATCATAAGTAGATCAAGTTACTCAAGAAGACAGATGCTGCCATGTTCCGGCACCATATCATAAGATTCTCACCCGCAAAACTCCACTCCTAGTCCTGGAAATCATTAGTAAGGTAAAAAAGGAAAAAAAAAATGTCATTGCACAATTCCCAGAAACAAGGACAATAAAGAAGACAGGGAATAAAAAATTACATCAGCCTCAGAACGTGGAGATCGGCTTCGAGAATTATAACGAGCACGAGGAGAGACACTCTTAGGAGTGATAGATCGTTCTTTCAAATTACGGGCACCCGGTCTTCCACCTCCAGACAGAGGTGATGATGATCTTACAGGAGAGGGGCTCCTCTGTGGGCTAGGACTTCGCCTTGGAGGAGGAGAGCCACTGTTATCACGATACAAATGTAT